GAAACCTGTTCCGTGCAGAAGGAGCAGAGTGAACGAAAGCAATTTTGACCAGTTCTCTGTGAGCAAAGGGAACACAAAGTAACAGCGGATCATTTGCACGCAGACTGTGAGAAGTTCCACTTCTCTGTGAGATGAAGTTACAGATGTAGTTGGGTAATCCAAGCATGGCCTTATAAATGAAAGTGTACCAATGTCCCAACCTCCTGGTGGACAAAGAAGGCCGTCCCACTGGAGAATACAATCCACAACCATGTGTAACGTACCAAAAGGCCATGTATTTCATCCAAATGACCAAAAGTTATCTTCTTCATACAGGTCAATCTGACACCGTGGTGCCGATGTGAAATCTATGATCTCGACCCAATACTCTTAACTTATCCTGTGGTATATCATAAGACATCAGGATGCTGCAGAAGATGCAAGACTTCTTATCTATCTTCTTTGAATAAAGTTGATCTTTTCTGGCTCATAAAATGACTTTCATTTTATAAGTTATATACAATCATATTTTGTTGAATTGACAATATGTTTAAGTCTAAAGCAGGGGTGTCAAATATGCGGCCCGCAAGCGGGTTAAATCCGGCCCACGAGATGGTTGTGTAAACTTTATTTTCATACTTTACAATGTAGAGTTAAAATAAACTTATCTTTGTGAGCAAGTTTCCTCTGTAATGAGTATAAATAAAACAAAGCTGCGCTCAAGGCTCACACAAGAACTTGAATCACATCCTGAAGTTGGCCGCCACTCAGGATGTGACTTCTGATATTGATGTGCTGATGAAAGCTAAAGGATGTAAAGTAAAATGAGTCAAATATACTTTAAGTGCTGCATGAAACTGATCTAGCCATGTGATCTGTAAGCTCTTTGAATCACTAAGGAATGTTTATTTATTTATTTATTTTTTCAAATTTTCAAGTACACTTCAGGTGTTGTACTTGTACTGTTTTGGATACATTGTCCTCAGGCTCCAGCTTTGTTTTATATTGATTGTATTAAAACAAAGAAAACAATCTGAAGTTGTTTTTAATTTACCGGTCCGGCCCACTTGGGACTAGATTTCCCTCAATGTGGCCCCTGAGCTAAAATGAGTTTGACACCCCTGGTCTAAAGTGTTTAATAATGTGTCCAATGCTCTATAGTAATGAATGATGGGTTAACATGAATGTTCATTCCTATAATGATTTATTCCTGATCTTAATTTACACCAGATTAGTATATTTGTTGATTTTAATGTTTGATTATCAATATATTCACACGTTAATATTATTGTTAATGGTTAATATAGTCACGTCACATAAATGCTTGACATTTTATTCCACATTAGGTGAAATAACCTCTCTAAGTGTTGGAGAAAGGAGTGGTGTCTGAGGTCTTTGATAAACGCCCACTTCAACTTCTCAAATTCTGATTGGTCCAAACTGATAAACAACAGTTAATAAAGCTCGTTCACTTCCTGAACAAGCCAGTTCTAGCGAGTTGTTGACCGACTGGTTTAGATTTATAGTCACAGAAGGTTTTGAATTGATCTGAAACTGCATTTAGCCAGTCCCAGTTGAATGGATGACTCGATACAATCTGCTGCGTTCTTTATAAGGAAACCTTTTACTGAGTAACATAATGAACTGAACTGTATTGGAACGTTTGGTTCTGTGAAGTCCCTTGAGACAACCCTTGTCATTTGGGGCTGTATAAATAAAATAAAATAAATTGAAATGGAAATCTTAATTGACAACCAAGAGATCAGGAACATAACAGCAGGCTTCTCACAGCCACAGAGACATGCTGGTTTGAACGTTGTTGCTCCGTACCAAACCGAGGTGTGGAAGATAAAATCAGCTCCCTCTACCTCTAACTACATGTACAAAGTAGCTGCTTCTCTAATTATTGATTCCCTATATTGTTATCATTACAGTGTGTTTATTTCTTAATTCTAATTTTGCTCATCATTTACTTTTTTCTTGTACCAAGTACCGCAGTGATTTCCTATTGTTGTGATTCACGCACATATGGCAATAAAACCCTTCTGATTCTGATTCTTCCATGAACATCTGGTTCTCCTCCATTCACTTCTTCTTGGAGTCACTTTGTTCAGGATGTTGTCTGGAAAAGCTCTTTGCCTCACAAACGTTTCCTCTCTAACAAGCTGAAGTCTTCCTTTTGTGACAGGGTGAGTGTGACTGTATTCAGATAGATCATGCGCCCTGGCTGCTTTAGGTTAGTTTCATCATTCAGTTCAGGTGTTAAGACTCTTTAAGGAAATGAAATGTGTCTGATTAGCTGCAGCATCATGATCCAGTCAGAGCGCTGAGGTCAGCATCTCAGCTGCTTCTGGACCCCACCACCAGATGAAAAACAACATCTGATGGAGCCTTAACTGCCACTTACACATTAGCGTCGGTACGGTCCGGGGAGGATAGCGTCAGTTCGGTCTCGATGGGCGGTGTAGTGTTTACATATACTGTAAATCTGAAGGACTTCTCAGGAATGTGGAAATCCCCGAGCCGCTGGGCGAAAGACCGCGGTTTCCACCATAAGATGAACAAAGGCAGGCATGTGTGGCTTTTGGAGACTCTGAACCACATTATTTTATTAAATTGCTGTGTGTCCTCATAAGACGCATTCGGACTGTAGGAAACTTTTGTAGTTCCTAGGACCTTTCCAGCCCTGTTTTGCGCGTGTTGGACAGTAGGAACTAGGAACCTTTTACTGTAGTTCCTAGAACCATTTTAGCTCCTACTCTGAGGCTGGGACTTTCTGTGATTCCTACGGAACTAACGTGACGTCGGCGCTTAGTGAGCTACGCCCCTTGCCTGATTTCTGCATCTTTTCTGTTCCGAATCATGTTTGTTTAATAAGAAACAGACAGGACTACATCCCGGATACTCCTGCTGCCGCTAGCACACCTCGCCAAAACTGAACAGGTAAATAAGACAGTCTTAAGGTGTTAGAAAGTGTTTTGTTTCATCTCTTGATATGACGGAAGGAAATTGTCCATTTTGGGATTAAATCACAGAGCGAAAGCCGCCAAGAGCGAGCATGCTTGTACCAAATTAATATGTAGTCAATTTGCTTTCTTTCGGTGAATTTCTACTTTGCTGATGTTCGCACGTGTGAACCATGTGCACGAACACATTCAGTGCAAACACACACGCGCACACATGCAGTTAAATGTCTTAAATTAAATTGTGTGCATTAATCTTATAGTACAAGCAGTAGAGTTGTTATCATCTGTAATATGTTTTAATGGTGGGCTGGTTTGATTAATATGTGTGATAGGCTGGCCGATCAACTGGTTGAGACACCAACCAGTCCTGCTACATCTACATACAAACAGTCCAAAGAACTGGGTGTGAGCGTAGCCTCTGTGTGGCCCTCCACATACGGCCCCTTGAACACCCAGATGGTCTGTTACACATACGTTTCTGGTTCTGATCAAGCGGCCAAGCAGTCAACAATATTTACATACAAACAGTCCCAAGTCAATATATACGTCTGTGGTACCAAGAACTGGGTGTGAGTGTAGCCTCTTTGTGGTCCCCACAACATGATGAACACAGGCTTTAAAAACTCTGGACATCTCCTGTGATTTAGATTCATCATATATTTCCCCCAGTTTCAGCTGAGTGTCTCATTTAGTAACAAAACATGATTGTGAACTCTCTCTCAAGTTTATTATATAGCCCATTTCATACACAAAACGGTAGCCCAATGTGCTTCACATAGTTAAAACAATCACAAGTGAAATGAAATAGTTAAAATGTCACATCATGTTGTGTAAAATAAAATCAAAGAATATTGACACAGAATATAGCACACAAACATAAAAGCATATTAAGTACAATTATTGGTAGCGCTTTCTTTTACAGTCCTCTAATTACTTAGTACTTCCATGGTAATTACTTAGTAAGTTAGTGTATTATTGTTTCTGAGTTCTTAAACTGTTATTACCATGTAACTCAGGTTCAATTCTAGTGTTTATTTTTATTAATCATTCCTAGTAAATACTGCTTTACACAGTAACTACACTTTATTACAAGTAATCGCTTTAATTACACAATAATACACAATAAAACAGCACAGAATAGGTATACATATAAAATAAATTCAACACAGTACAGATAAAGACCTAGTAGAGCACAGATGCAAGGATAGGTTAATGGAAGGCATCATGAAAAAGTTTAGTTTTTAATCTGGATTTAAAAATGGAAATGGTGGGAGAGGTCTTAATGTCTATTGCCCTCTTTTATATTGAATTCATTTCACAGTTTTCATTGGTACACTCAATCCAAATGTGTTTCACATATTTGTCCTTTACCAGTATGTTTCATCTATCTTGTAATTTCCATTTTGTATTTTGTAATTTGAATTTCTTTTACTGTTGATTTATTCAATATATTTACCTACAACTTTACCATGTTCAGCGCTTTGGGCTTCCTGACAGGGTTGCGGAAGGCGCTTTATAAATAAAGCTTTGATTGATTGATTGATTGGAAGACAGTTCCAGAGCCTCTCCGTGCTTGGTGTGGGCTCTGGGTTGTACCAGTTGGGATTTATCTGCTGATCTAAGTGATTTTGAAGGGTGATACGTTTCAAACATCTCTGCTATATACAGAGGTCGTTGGCCATTTAATGTATTAAAAGTAAGTAAAGTGTCTTTGAAATCAATCCTGTAAGTTACTGAAAGCCAATGTAAATATTTTAAGATTGGTGTGATGTGATCATTTCTATTGGTTCTGGTCTCTTGCTCTCTGTCTCTCTGCTCTGTGTAACACACAGCCTTCAGACCTGCGGAGAAAAAAACCTACAAGATGCAGAAAAAAAAAAGGATAAACCTCCAACCTTCATATTGTCAGCAATAAACACAGCAAAACTTAACTTTCATGACCAAAAAAACCCATAAAAATTATTCAGTAAATCAGGAGAGCAGGAACAAGTCTTATTTCTGATTTTACATTTTTACTTCAATTCAAACTATTTAGACTTTTGTGTTTTCATCACATTTAGCGTGTATTTTATTTAAAATATCATCAGTTTTACAGGTTAGCTGTTCATGTGCGCTTAAAAAATTATGTTACTAACTTCTAAAAAAATTACCAAATCATTCACATGAAGTAGATTTGTTATTCATTATCTGAAAGTATCTGATTAGTTTAAAAAACTAAATATGTTTTGTTTAATTTGGTTTTCAGAATGTCACTAGTTTACTGATACTTTTAAAAAATATATATACTGATGTACTGAAATACAGAGAAATCAACTTGTGAGTACAATGCATGTTAATATAGTAAGTATAGCATGTTTAACATAAGCACATTCACACATGTAAAGTACCAATGTAAATAAATCATATGGCAGTAGCTCTGCTGTACTTCATTGTGTAAAAGTAGCCCACGGGCCAAAAAATGTTGGAGACCCCTGCAATAGATCGTTCAGCCCTAGTGGATGCTTAGATGATTGTTTAAAGATTTCTTTCAGCTAAATCTTCGTCCACAGAGCTCACAAGCAAAAGGCTTCTGTCCTTTATGGACTCTTTTGTGACCGTTTAAACTGATCTTTTGGGTAAATCTTTTCCACTGAACTCACAGGCGAAATACCTGTGTGGACTCTCATGTGTCTGTTTAAAGTTGACTTTTGGCGAAATCTTTTTACACAGAGCTCACAGGCAAAAGGCTTCTGTCCAGTGTGGACTCTCATGTGTTTGTTTAAACTTCCCTTTACACTAAATCTATTACCACAGAGCTCACAGGCGAAAAGCTTCTGTCCAGTGTGGACTCTCATGTGTGTGTTTAAACTTCCCTTTACACTAAATCTATTACCACAGAGCTCACAGGCGAAAGGCTTCTGTCCAGTGTGGACTCTCATGTGTGTGTTTAAATGTGTCTTTTGGCTAAATCTTTTTACACAGAGCTCACAAGGAAAGGGCTTCTCTCCTGTGTGGACTTTCATGTGTTCATCTAAAGACCCTTTTCGGCTAAATCTTTGTCCACATAGCTCACAGGCAAAAGGCTTCTCTCCTGTGTGGACTTTCATGTGTTCATCTAAAGACCCTTTTCGGCTAAATCTTTGTCCACAGAGCTCACAGGCGAAAGGCTTCTGTCCAGTGTGGACTCTCATGTGACTGTTTAAATTTGTCTTTTGGCTAAATCTTTTTACACAGAGCTCACAAGGAAAGGGCTTCTCTCCTGTGTGGACTCTCATGTGTTCATCTAAAGACCCTTTTCGGCTAAATCTTTGTCCACATAGCTCACAGGCAAAAGGCTTATCTCCTGTGTGGACTTTCATGTGTTCATCTAAAGACCCTTTTCGGCTAAATCTTTGTCCACAGAGCTCACAAGGAAAGGGCTTCTCTCCTGTGTGGACTCTCATGTGTTCATCTAAAGACCCTTTTCGGCTAAATCTTTGTCCACATAGCTCACAGGCAAAAGGCTTCTCTCCTGTGTGGACTTTCATGTGTTCATCTAAAGACCCTTTTTGGCTAAATCTTTGTCCACAGAGCTCACAGGCAATAGGCTTCTCTCCTGTGTGGACGCTCATGTGATTGTTTAAATTTGTCTTTTGGCTAAATCTCGTTCCACAGAGCTCACAAGGAAAGGGCTTCTCTCCTGTGTGGACTCTCATGTGTCTGTTTAAAGTTGTCTTTCGGCTAAATCTCGTTCCACAGAGCTCACAAGCAAAAGGCTTCTCTCCTGTGTGGATGCTCATGTGTGTGGTTAAATTAGTCTTTTGGTGAAACCTTTGTCCACAGTGCTCACAGGCAAAATGTTTCTGCTTTGTCTGGACTCTCGTGTGTTTGTTTAAATGTGTTTTTTGGCTAAAGGATTGAATCCTGGCAGCATCAGTCTCCTTATTCAAATGGAGATGCTCTCCCTCCATACTAGACCAGAGTTTCTCCTGTTCCTCCTTTTTGTGGAGAAAATCTAGGTGCTGGTGGTTGACACGAGCACTCTGTTCTTCTGAAGCTTCTTATTTAACCAGAACCATCTGTTGAAAATCTGTAGGAAACACAGAAACATATTATGTGAATTACAGACAGCTGTAACTGTGTTTTCACACATATAACAGTTGTATTATTTCTTTAAACTGACAGTAGAATGAAATGTATTTACAATTGGAAACTGAACTTTGAGCCTCTATAAATCATATGAGCCTTAACCCTCAGGCTTCACTTTAATTTTCATACAAGAGTCATTAGAGGACAAAAACATCCGCTTGTAAAAGTGGCTATAAAAATGTATACATTAATGTTTTTTTTTAACTTTTTTTTCATAGATCTGTTTAACAACTTCAGCCCTGCTCAAACATAAAAAAATTCAATCATTTTGAAGCTTTTAACCCCTGAAATGCCAGTTTGAATACTCAAAGGCATTGATGTAATTTATGAATAAATAAACAAATAAACAAACAAATAAACGAACGAACGAACGAACGAACGAAAGAAAGAAAGAAAGAAAGAAAAAGAAAAACCACTAAAACTGTTATTTCCTAAAAAAAAGAGTTATTTGTCTGGGGTGTTTAGAACAAATCAGTCTTGATTATGTTATGAATTATCTAAAATTTTGAATTTTTTGCATTTATAGTTTTTATATAGCAACAGATTAAAAATTTACTATATACATATATACAGTCAAGCCATTATAGGACAAAAACGTCCACTTTTAAAACTGCTTTGAAAATGGTCCAAATTAAAAAAAAAAATCTGCTTTTTGGGTCTAAATCTTGGGATCAACTTCAGTCCTGATCGAAAATAATCAAATATTGAATATTTATCTAAATCTTAACCCTTTATATGCCAATTTGATTATGTGATGCTCATTTTTCATGAAAAAAGCAGACAAAAGAGGAGATATTTTTCATAAAACATATTTTGAGTGACTGAAAAAACTTTTTTTAAATCAGCCTTGGATATGTCAAGAGTCTGGCAAAATATCCCATTTTATGCTTTTTTTTAGTTTTTGTGTGTGTTGTGGGTTTTCGGTTTAGTTTAAAATATATCACCTTGAGTTTGGTTTAACCACCCTGTTTAGAGTTTGGACCTTTGGAGATCCTTATTTTGGTCCAGAACCCAGTAATCTTTGCCCAGTGGGACATCCCTAGTTATTTGTACTTTTGTTTTAATTCCCCACAGCCACAATTAGTTTTATTATTCCCATAAACCTGATCATCATTTTAACTTTTAAAGGAGACATAACATGAAAAACCCACTTTTTTATCCGTTAACACAGTGTTTCACATTTTAAGTGTCTATGTGAGCAAAAAGGCTTATATTACTCACTGGAGTAGCTATTTAGATATTTAATAATTAAGTTTTGGACATATTTGTCCACCCGTTCAGTTTTTCAAATTATCTATTACGTTAAAAATTTATTTCGTCAGGATAACTACCAAATATGGTAATGGCCCTTGCTAAACACAGAGCCAATCCGCCATTTTTTCTTCTCGCTAAGATTTTTTGTAGTCCTATTGGAAAAATGCAGAATGTCTGGTTATTTTAGCCACACACAGCTCAAAACTGTTCCTCGTTTTAAGAAGGGTGGTGTGGCAGTATTTAAACCCAGGAGCTGATGACACTACTGCTAAAAAAAAACACATAAGAAAAAGTAGAGAGTGTGTGTGAGTGTGTGTGTGTGTGTGTGTGTGTGTGTGTGTGTGTGTGTGTGTGTGTGTGTGTGTGTGTGTGTGTGTGTGTGTGCGTGCGCGCGGTTTGTTCGTGTCTCCCAGGCTAGTAAGTACTGAGGGCTTCATCTATCTAAAAGGAGTCATTTCCATCTGAATGTGGCAGCACCGGGACACAGCAGCAGAGCGGTAAGCTTCATATCACTCTAAAATGTCGACAAACTTTACTTTAGATTTACGGGCATTAGCAGCACTAAAGCGTTAGCATCCGACTTGCTATCGCTAGTGTAACCGGATTACAGGATACAATAAGATAATTAAAAGAAAAAATAAACAAATGGGCCAATAATTAGGTTCGGGGAGAATTGGAGGTTGTTTAAGAATGACTGGAGTCACGGGTATAGCATGAAACGGTTTATATACTAAATTTTAATAATAATGGGAAATATAACACATAAAGATAACACACAAAAACAGATGAAAACAATCGACAATAGTAAATTGGTCGGTATGAGATTTGATCATATGAGTCACAAGTCAGCCGGCGTCAAGTCAAATCCCCACGCTTGGGGTGAAAGTCAGAGTCCGGTGGTGCGATTTTTTCCTACCACACCGTTGAGATTGTTCACAGAAGAGAGCAGTCTGCTCTTCAATTACTTGAGATGTCCTGGTTCGTTCAGTGGTTAAGGCTCGCCATCTCCCTCGTCAGGAAGAAATCCAGTTCTCGTTCCAAGTGAGTGATCATAGGAGTCGGGATCAAACCCAAGGAAAAAAAAAAACCCAGCCTGTAAACAACAGGACTGTTAGCAAGTTGGCATCGACCCTTCTCGTCACATCACAGCATAAAGTCTTACAGACTTAAACAAATGCTTCACTCTATTGGCATAGCCAATCATGTTTGGGTTCACAGTTCAACTAACATAACATCAATTTGATTGTCTATTAAAATAATTCTCAGTAGCTCTGGAAATATAATTACATATGACAACAATTGTTCAGCTCAATAGGCTCAGTTAGATTCTATTACTCTACACTATTCGACAAGAAATACATTCATGACAACAAGGATACATTTAGTTGTGTTTCTATACAGCATTGTGACACCTTGTATATCTGTAACACAATAAATAAATAAATAAATAAACAAACAAATAAATAAATAAATAAATAAAATTTTCTATAACAAAATTAAACAAAATATAAATTCTGGTCCTTTGGTCCACCTTTGTAAAATAATTCCTCCCTAATCAGTTAGCTTTTATTTATTTTTATTTATCTATTTTTTTTATTATTAAATGTTTGGTTAAGGGACGCATTGCTAATTCTATGGCGTTAGCTATAACGCCCCTGAGGACCTTGTACATCTAGGCCGTACCACCGTTAACTGGCGGTTTGAGCCGTTAACTCCTGGGAATCCCATATGCCCTACCGCCGTTAACTGGCGGTTTGAGCCGTTAACTCCTATATGCCCTACCACCGTTAACTGGTAGTTTGAGATGTTAACTCCTGGGATCTAACGTCTAGCAGCCCACTGCTGTCACCTCGGTTGCTGTAATTAGCTTTTTGAATTTAATAATTTACTGAATTTAATCTCGTTCACTCACCAACGCGCTCCAACGGTTCCCTCCTACAGAGGATTGGTTCACTCTGTCGTCTCCACACAAATCTATAAGAATGGAATTAATTTGATAAGCTATTTAAGTTTCCTTTTTTTTTTAAGTTGCATCGTTAGCTTTTTCTCTTCTTTTTTCTTTACTCACCGCGTTGGTTCCAAGTTCCTAGCTCTTATTAGAAGGAGTCAAGTCCGCCTCTCCCTCTATCTATGCGGCACCCAAATCAGGGTTCTTCACGGCCTCGACCGTTGTTTTTTTTTCTCTCTCTCTCTCTCTCTAACCGCTCAGTCTTTGCTTTCTGTATCTGCGTGCTGCACAGCCGTTTGTCTCTCCTCTCGCTCAGCTGCGTCGCACGGTTTTATTTCGCGGAGGCGGGACTTATTTCTCTCAGCCAATGAAATTTCAGATTCCCACCTGGACCAATAGTATACAGCTTTCCTCTTCTGTTTCTGTTAGTGATGTTCAAGATTCTTGTTTTAACCGATGTTTAATATTAAACTCGTTATTTTAGTTATTCACCCTTCCAATAATTCATTATGAAATTATCTATTAGTTAATTAGATATCTATTAATTAGTATTGTTAATTTCCTTAATTTATATTTTATATTTTATCTAAATTGAGGATGGATCATATTAGTAAGCCAATCAGTTAATACCTCATTAAGGTTCTAGCTTCTGGGTTACATCCTCCCCCATTAAATATCATGCACGTCCCTGTGCATTGTTTCTACGGGGTACACAACTTCTTGAGTAAGAGAGTCAATAAAAGCTTTATTAAGTCCTTGGAAAAGGGACCTAACTACGGTCACTAGTGGATTGCCCAATTGAGAGTAAGTTAGTCTTTGAGGAGGCTGACTACTTCGTTCAGATCTCCTGACATACATCTCTGGTTGCACAGTATCATGCTCATCCGTTTCGGTTTGATTCTCAACTGAGACAGGACGAAGTGAGCTCTCTGTTTCCGACAGAGCTGATGAGCTATTCTCTAAGACTTTGGTCTTTTCAGATGTATGTGTCTGATCGTGTATGATGGGTTCAAAACTTACATCACGTTGCTGCGACTTTAGGACACCATCCAATTGAGGTAGGTTTGTGTTAGTTTCATCCCCCGTTTCTACGTCAGGTAAGTATACTTCGTTTTTTTTCGTTTTTTCAGGTAAGTATGTTGCTGCTTCTTTCACTCTTTCAGGTAAGAATGTTTCGGTGTTGATGCCTTTGTCAAGTAAGGACAATTCAGCATTTTCATTACCAGCTAAGGTTGGTTCCTTGCGATCCCCTGTGTGTAAGGATAGTGTGTTTTGTTGTTGAATATTATTTACCGGTCCTGAATCTGCTATGAGTTCCCTATTTGGCAAGGTGACCGCTATTTGATAGGATGGTCGGTTTAGCACTTGTGGAAGATCAGAGTGATAAAACTCATCTACCTCTTCGTCAAGTGGCTCATCTGGGTCAGGTTCTAAGGCTGAACTCTGTCTTGTATGAGGTCTGCTAGGTTTCGTAACGCGTTCTGTTTCATTTTCTAATGAAGAGAGAAAACCACAAGGCAGTAAAAGATCTCTGTGGAGTGTTCTGTTGGGTCCTTCTCCGTTCTCTGGTTTTACAGTGTATACTGGCAAGTTTTCCATCTGTTTGAGAACTATATACACTGTTTGCTCCCATTTGTCTGCTAATTTATGCTTTTCTCTTAAGCGAAGATTTCGGACTAAAACACGATCTCCCACACCTAGTGTGGACTCACGAATGTTTCTGTCGAACCGTTCTTTGTTCTTCCTCGCTGTTTTTTGAGAGTTTTTTATGACAATGTCATAACTCTGTTCCAGATGACTCTTCAGTTCTTTAACATACTGAGAATGAGTTATAGAGGGCTTGTTCAAATGCGGTAACCCAAAGGCAATATCTATAGGCAACCGAGGCTGCCTACCGAACATTAGCTCGTAGGGAGAGTATCCCGTCACGTCATTTTTTGTACAATTGTACGAGTGAGTAAGTGGTTTTACAAAATCGCGCCAGTGATGTTTCTCAGTGGCTTGTAAAGTTCCCAACATGCTGAGTAATGTACGATTGTACCGTTCAACGGGGTTGCCACGAGGGTGATAAGGGCTCGTTCTGACTTTACGGATACCAAGTAAAGAACAAAGTTCCTTGATTGTACGTGATTCGAAATCCCGTCCCTGATCACTATGAAGACGCTCAGGAAACCCGTAGTGGACTAAAAAATGTTCCCACAGGTTCTTCGCGACGGTGGTGGCTTTCTGATCTTTGGTTGGGATGGACACTGCATACTTTGTAAAATGGTCTGTAATCACTAAGACATCTTTAGTGTTCTTACTGTCTGGTTCTATGGAGAGAAAATCCATGCAAACTAACTCCATAGGTCTGGTGGTGGTAATACTCACCATTGGAGCAGCTTTGTCAGGGAGGGCCTTCCGACGGATACATCTTTCGCAAGTTTTAACTTTGATTTCGATATCACTAGCCATTTTTGGCCAGTAAAAACGGGACCGAATGAGATCTGTCGTACGTTCAACCCCAAGATGCCCCATATCATCATGTAGGCTTTGCATGACTGTTGAACGTAATGAATCAGGCAAGACTAACTGCAATGATGTCTCTGGTCCTAATTGGCGTCTCCGGTACAGTAAATCATTTTGAAACTCAAACCGTTTCCACTCTCTCAAAAGGTTAAGAACCACCGGGGGTTCTGCAATAGTATCAGTTGGCGGTTTATTGTCAGTCATAAGCAGCTGAATGACTCGGCCAATGGTTGGATCTTTCCTCTGCAAGGAGACAAGGTCAGCATGGTTATACTTGGGCACAGCAAAGAAACTGTCACTATTGTCTTCCAACTGGAATAGGTCTGGAATGGCCGCTGCAGACATGGCAAGTGACTGAACTAAACCACAAGGAGAATCAGTCTCATCCAAGACCATGTGCTTTTGGCATGTTGCCTTCACTGCTTCGGCTTGAAGTTGAAGCTCGACTTCTTTGACAGAGGATAAAAGATGAGATCGGAACTCATCTAGTCGTTGGCATTCCTCAGTGAATTTTGAGTTGTCTTCAGGTTTATCATGCAGCCTCCTAGACAGGCCATCCGCGTCAACGTTCTGTGTACCTGCACGGTATCTGATGTCAAAATTATAGGTGGACAACGCAGCTAGCCAACGATAGCTCGTTGCATCGAGTTTTGCCGTTGTTAAGAGGTAAGTTAACGGATTATTATCAGTAATGACAGTGAATGTGTTCCCATACAAATAGTCATGAAACTTATCTGTTATGGCCCACTTTAAGGCTAGAAACTCCAACTTGTGCGCAGGGTACCTAGTTTCACTAGAGCTTAAACCGCGACTTGCATAAGCGATTACCTGTGTGACACCGTTTTGCACTTGGTATAGCGCTGCACCGAGTCCGGTCGTACTAGCATCTGTGTGTACTAGATATGGGAGTTTTGCGTCAGCGTAGCCAAGAACTGGCGAAGTGGTAAGTTTTTCAATAATAGTTTGAAAGGACTTCTCACAGTCTTGGCTCCAACGATTCCCAAAGGGTTCTTTGGGGTTCAAGTACTTTGATCTACATGG